TGGAAGACCACTAAAAGACTACCTTTACCTCCTCAAAACTTTGCCTAGGGATATCGTGTGCTCATAAAAGGAAGCCTTATCTTGTTTATCCTCTTTCTCCTTGGAATTCATGGCCTACTACCCTTAGGACTTAGAAATGAGCTAAGTATTTGTTATTTAATAAACCCTATTCAATAAACTTCTATGGCTCCTTATTATCTATGGATCGAAGATAAACTCTCATGTTTGGCATTTAAAGCTCTTTATAATCTGGCTCCCACTTTCCTTTCCAGCTTTATTAAGACTCCCCTACATGTACTCTCCAGTCCAATTTTCCTATATCCAGCCTATATAGCTCCTCTAGGGCAGGGTCTTTCATTTTCATCTTCGTATTCCCTTGGAATGCCTTACTGCTCCTCACACAGGATGCTCCATCTAACAGGCACTGCATGCTTTTTAGAACCCCAAGCTCAGCTCAAATACCACCGTCCACACAAAGCTTTTCTTGATTCTCCCACCTGCTAGTGCATCCTCCACTCTCCCCAAATCACCTTGTATTAATTTTGCCTGTCTTTATATATGTACTTTTTTGCTGTTCACCTTGTTAGAATGTTCCCTTTCTGACTGTATCCCCAGTGCCTAGAACCATGTAGGCACTTAAATGCTTGTTAACCTCATAGGCTTTTATGATCTGGCCTGGGAATGTTAAAACCACTTACAGTACTGTTTCTAATGAAATTGTTTTCTTTTTTCCAAACAAACTGGGAATAAGACCCATCCCTAAGTTGGATGCCAGCTGTATTCAATTTTGCTGATGGAGAGAAATCACCAGCTTACGGCCAGTCTTTGGTGCCACTCAAAAAAGACAATGGTGACATATGAAGCAATAGAAAAAGTCAAATGTTTTGGAGTCAAAGGACACAGAGCTATATCCTGGCTTGAACACTTAATATTTTGGTCAAATTATTTTAGGTCCTGTTTCCCCAGATTATATAATCTTTAAGCTTCCTTCCAACTCTAAGACTTTGGAAACAAAATGCATAGGATACTCATAGATACTACAGAAAGCCTGCATCTCCAGGTCACTATGTTCTTACACAATTATACAAATACAGTCTTTTCAAACAAATCGAAGAGAAGATATGATAAAGGCTTATTTGGCAAAATTCACTACCTAAATGTCTTTTCTTGCCATGTAGAATGTGGTCCAGAAGATGACCTTTGAAACTAAAATATTTAACTACATTCCTGAACTCAGGGATTGTGTGAATTATATAACTCAATTTAGGCTATTATTTTATATGCAAAAACATTACTTCTTAGATTTTCTCAATTATAAGTAGGGAAGAAATTTGATCAGGAAGGTAAAATGGAGGTTGTCACATAATACTCTGTGTGTGATTTCTGTGAGCGATCTCCATAATGTGGCTTTGGCATCTCTTTGAAATATAATTATTTTTTGAAAGAACCAGTGTACCAATACATAACCGTAATAACATTTAAAAAAAAATTATCTATCTACTGAGCTTCTCCATTAGTGTGAATATACTTAAGATTTGCTTGTGTATCTCATTTCTTCACATGACCATAATTCTCAAAGTGTGGTCCAGGGACCATTGGGGATCCCTGAGACCATTTCAGGAGGTTGACAAGATCAAACTATTATCATGATAATACTAAGACACTGTTTGTTAAAATACTCTTCCTTTTTCCAACTACATTATGTGTGAGGCTGGATTTTCTTCATATACTTCAACCAAAATAACTTATTGTAACAGAATGAATGGGAAATCAGATACAAGACTCTAGATGCCTTCCATAAAGCTAGTCATTAAATTTGCAAAAAAATACGTAAACGCCATTCTTTTCACTAATTTTTTGTTTTGGAAAATAAAACATTTCTCATAAAATATGTTCACGTATAATAGATTTATTATGGTTATTTAAAATGAATTAATTTTTTTAAATGTTTAATTTCTAAGATGGCAAATGTTAATATACATAACCCACACAAACCAAAAGTTTTGGGGGTTGTCAATAATTTTAAAGTGGGTATAGGGTCCTGAAACCAAAAAGTCTGAGAACCACTGAACTCTAACTAAACTTTCAGGAGCCTCATAACACTCTGTTCAGTGCATTTAATCTGCAGTTACTCAACAACTGTTTGTTGATGATTATGACAGAGACAAACAGCTATATGGTTTCATATAATAACAATGCTAAAAAATCATACTACCCTTCAATAATTCAAAGATCCATTATTTCATTGGTATGGATATTCCCTTTATTAAGGCAGAGTACACTCACTCCAGATTTTACCTAATAAATAGTTTTCAGTCAAGCAATGTAAACATTTAATAAGTGCCTACTACGTGCCAGGAACTGTGCTAAGCACTAGGGATACAAAGAAAGGCAAAAGACAATCCCCATCCTCAAGCAGCTCACAATCTAATGGGGAGAGTCAATACATAAAAAGAAACTGAAAAGGGTGGGCAGGAGGTAGGGACTTGGGCGGGGGAGAAGGGGACCTGACCAGGGGCTGATGAAATCCTGAGTGGGAAATTATGAGATGACTACATTGGGTTTCCTCCTTAAATGGAAGATTTGAGAGGAGCTCTACAATGTACACCCTCCACCCTCTCCCTTCATTAAGTGATTCTATGACAGAAAAAATAATCTGCTGATTACACTTAGCTGGGTTGGTCTTTTGATGACAATGTCTGTTATTGGACTTCTCCATCAAGGTTCTCTGGGTTGGCAGGATATATCAAAGTTTGTGCTCCACTGTACAACCTTTGAGAACCCAGGGATGTGGAAAGGCATTGGAAGAAGACTTTGATGGAGGGAAAATAGTAATAGTCTGCATTTACATGGTATTTCAGAGACCACAAAACACTTTTAAGATCATAGGAGCATAGATTTAGAGCTGGAATCTCAGAAGTCTTTGAGTATAATTCCTTTATTTCACATATGAGGAAACTGAGGCACAGTAGGGTAAGTGACTAATCCAAGGTCACAAATGTCTGAGATAGGATTTGAATCCAAGCTTTCCTGATGAAAAAAGACCAAGTAGATGGCTATATACACAACATGATGATATTTGAAATGAAAAACCATCATTTTGATAATATTTTACCCAAGACAAGGTCAAGAGCAGTCAGATTTCCTGGGTGTCAGTTGTATCAAAGAAGTAGGAGAAATGCAAGTGAGACTATGAGACATCTCTCTAGATAAGGGCTTTTTAAAACCATCCATTCATTTTCAGAAAGAACATCTCAAAGCTGTTCTACGACAGGTAAAGAAGCTTGGAGTAGAAATGAACTTTTAAAAATCTGTTACTAATACTATATGAAATAAGAGTTTTCATAAACATTCTTTGGGTAATGTAGAATACAGATAGATGAACCATGATTACCCTCCCCTAATTTTCCCACAACAAGTTGTGGGATGGAGGCAGGAGTCAAAATTCATGGGTAAAGTAGAATATAAACTCCTGGAAGTCAAGATGCTTTGTCTTAGAGTTGGAAGGGACTTTACTGATCAAAGAGCTCAACTCTTTGCATGCTGAATGAATCCCCTCTAAGATATCCATGCTAAATGGACATTTATTCTGCTTTAACAGTTATGTGACAGGGAAACTGGTGCCTTACAAAAGCAGCCTGTCTCTATTTTGGATAATTCTGAAGTTTTGCTTTATTGTTCCTCCCTAAGAATTGGAATCGTTGGCTCTGTTTGTATCCTTAAGACCACAAATAATAAATCTATACTTATTCACTCTTATATGAAAATCCTTCAAATATCTGAAGATAGCTATCATGTGTCTCCTATGTTTATCTTGTTTAGGCTTCAGTTTTCTTATCTGTAAAATGGGGATAATAGTATCTACTCAAAGGAATATTGTGAGGCTCAAATAGAGTAATACATGTAAAACACTTTGAAAACATTAAAAGACTAAATAAATGACAGCAAATATCTGATATATTATTCTTATCACCAGGTCATGTCTTACTAAGTATTCAGCAGAAATTATATTTTTAAAGACTGTAATGATGTATTGCATAGTGGACCCTGTTTCCTTGCATAATAAACATTGATTATTAAATCTAGGTTCCTTAAAGATAATCCCTTTGTTAACTTCTCATGACAATGAGCTGATTTGACATAATCCCCTCTGTTTCCACAGACAAATCCATACGACTCAGCCATTTGATGCTTCATTGTTGGCATACTAGTGGTTAAGTTCCTTTTCATTCTATTCTTGCATCTTAGTTGTATCACAGGTTCAATCCACAGGTAAGTTATTTTTGGTTAGATTTGAAAAACCAAGAATATCAGCTTATAACTGCTTGGCAAAGTGACATTTGCTTATTTCAAAGATTGTCTATAGGCTTTTAAAAAACACATCTGTTAATCATGTGCTTTATTATATTGCCATTTGATCCTTCATAATGCTAACAGCTTGATGTGGAAAGGAAGTGAATGCTCCATGTGCTATAGGATGGAAGGCAACTGGAAACTCAAAAGAGTACCTTGTTGCCACTGGCTATGGTCTACTCTTTAACTTCCCATTAGGGTCTCTAGGACGTACCCTGCCTGAGGGAGGCACACTGGGCATTTGTCTCCAATTCTAGCTTCATCCTTGAAATAAATGCCCTCATATAAGTTACTGCTTGAAACACTTTGGCTTTATTAATCCAAGCAGTAACATTTTAGATCTATCTACTGTGACAGAATCACAGAATTTCAGAGAAGGAAGGGAGCTTCTGCCTCCAGTATCTCATCCAATCTCAACATCCTTATTTCTATCAACCAAACATCGTATTTATTCTTCGAAACATCACAGAACTTAACATAACAAAATAGACTATAGATAACCAAAGTGTAACAGACATAGAATGCTAAAATTGGATGGCCCCCTGGACCTGATATTTTACTATTTTAAAGTCCTAAAACAGACACACACACCCCCAAACACATTGTATGCATATATGATCAAAATGGATCCAGAAGCCTGGACTTACCGGCTGCAAAGTATCTTCTTGCCTCCTGTTTTGACTCTGCCGATTGATGAAGGACCGTGTTGAGAGCTTGTAGTGATTCAACAAGCAAATGATCACCACGACCATCACCGTGATCACAACAATGATGATAATGATCTGGACAAACTCCAGTTCAGCTGAGAAAGAGAAAAAACATGAATGCTTTAACAAAACTCTCCTTCTTTTCCCTCCCAGGTGCTGTCTTAGAAATGTTCACCTTCTTAAAATTCACCCAGACATAGAATACAAGGACACTGCTTCATACTAGATTCTAACATCTTAATGTCTCAATAGGAGAAGCAGCATGGGGTTGTGAAAGGATCCCTGAACTTAGCCTAGAATCTTATTTGCTGCTATGTGACCACAAGAAAATCATTTAACCTCTTCAAATCTCAGTTTCTTCATCTATAAAATGGAGATAATAACATTTGTACTACCAACTTCGTGGGATTGCTGTGATGGAAGCACTTTGTAAAATTATAAATGCCATACAAATATGAATTGTTGTTAGTAGTGTGTTGAGTTTCTAGAAGCAGGGAGAGAGACCTTAGAGCAGGGGTTCTTGACCTTTTTTTGTGTCATGGACTCTTCTTTTGGCCGTCAGGTATAGCCTATAGATCCCTTCTCAGAACAGCTTTTTAAAAAATTCATAATTGAAAGAAATACTAAATATCAGTGAGGTTACTAAAAATAAAGAAGCATTTTTTTTATCCAAGTTCACAGACTCTCTAAAAATATACCTAGGGGTATGAAATCAATCCTTGAAAGACTGTAGGCTCCCAAGCTAAAAACCTCTGCCCTAGAAGAAGCCTGTTGCTAAGTGATCTCTGCTAGTCTGCTAAATGTACTTGTTATTACCAACCATACTCATAATGCTTATTATTCTAGAGAGGTGGGGGAGGGAGGGAAGAGAAAGGAAGCTTTATAATAATTGATTCAGGTTAACTCATAAGCCCTCAGTGAGGTCAGACATGATAATCAGCCCAACTTCCAAAATGAAAAAATCAAGGTACAATAAGATTAAATTGTCCAAACTCCATACACTGAAGCTTATCCCAACTAGATAGCACCTCCTGTTACGTTCCTTGGACTCTACCTTCCTTTGTCATATTAAATAAAACCACCATGCTCCTGTGTCTCTCAATCAATCAATCAATCAAAAAGCATTTATTAAGCAGCTACTAAATTACTCAGAATCATAGAATTTTGAGAGTCGGAAGGGACCTCTGTGGCCCTTTAGTCCAATCTATTCATGAAAGGAATTCCTACTATATATAACCTATATGACAAGCAGTCCCTACTTTTCAGTCTTCTCATACTTTTCTCCCTATCATACATATACTCTCTGATCTGGCTACACTGGTTTGCTTGCTACTTCTCACATGTGACATTCCATTTCCCATTGCATTGCCTTTGCATTGGCTTCCCCTCATGCCTGGAATGCTCTCCTCCTAACTTCTGCCTCCTGGTTTCTCTGTCTTCTTCAAGACTCAGCTCAGATCCCATTTTCTTCAAGAGGTCTTTCCCAGTACCCTAGCTGCTAGCGCCTTCTACACACACACACATACACACACACACACACACACACACACACACACACACACACGCACACACCCCTTTTATGTATCTAGTTATTTATTTTTTTATCAACTCCATTACAATGCTTAACAAATGCTTGGTAACTGACTGTTCATTCAGCCTCTGCTTGAAGACCTCCAAGGAGGGGAAACCAACTGCCTTTCCAGGAAGCCCATCCTACTTCAGGATAGCTCTAATCGCTACAAAGATTTCCTGACCTCAAGCTTAAGCTGGACTCTGCAACTTCTATCCACTGCTTCTTGGTTCTGCCCTTTGGGGTCAAATAACCCTTCAAAGACTTGATTGATAGCTAACATGTCTCTCCTGAGTCTTCTCTTCTCCATGCTATATATACCTAGTTTCTTCAGCCCATCCTTATACAACCTGGACTTAATGCCCTTCACCATCTTGGTTGCTCTTTCCTGGACACTTTCCAATAATATATTTATATGATTTCTTTCTTTTTAAAAATTTATTTTATTTTTAATTTATGGAATAAAGCAAACATTTCCATAACACAGTATAATAAAAAAGATGATTGCACATGAAACAGCAAATCTACTACGCACAACTTATTATTCCTTTTAAATATCAACAAGGTTAATGTACAAATTTCCTTTTTAAAATTATATTTAATATTCTTCTTAAGTTGTGATGCCAGAACTTAACACAACACTCCAGATGTGGTCTGATAAAAGACAGAGTACAATGAAACTATTACCTCTGTACTTTTAAATGCTATACCTCTCTGAATACAGTCCAACAACACATGGGCATTTTGGCTGCAACATTACACTGCTAACTATTACCTAAAACTCCCAGGTCTTATTCAGAATAACTACTGTCTAGGTATGCCACTCTTATATTGACCTTGTAAAGCTGATTTTTTTTGTACCCAAATTTAAAATTCTAAAGGTATCCCTACTGAATTTCATGTTATTAGATTTAGCCCAAAATTCTAGTCTGTCAAGAACTTACATGTGTCAGCTATCCCACTAAGCTCTGTCATCTGTAAATCTGACAAGCATGCCATCTATTGATCTATCCATCTATCTATTTATCTACTTATGTCTTTAACCATCTCACTGATTGAAAAGTTAAGCAACAGAAGGCCAAGTACAGATCCCTGGGATATTCCACTGTAGACTTCGTGGTCTGCTGACACTGAATCATTAACAATTATTTTTGAGTCTGTCCCCCTCCCCCAGCCAGCTCTGAACCCAGCTGATTGTATAATTGTGTAATCAGTCCATAGCTCTCCATCTTCTCCACAAAAATAATATGTAATACTTTATAAAAAATTCTAAAACATAGTAAGAAAACTATATTTGCAGTCATTTCCACATCTAATTTAGTGATCTTGCCAAAAAAAGAAAGGACATTAATCTGGCATGATCTGTTTTGATGAAAACATGCTGGCTTTTTAAAATCACCATTTCCATTATAAGATGTTCAGAATCCATCTCTTTAATGATACAATTAGGAATTTTCTCAGGAATCAGGAATGGCCTATCTCTTGTAGACTGATCTCTTCCACTTTTAAAAAATTTGGACATTTGCCCTTCTCTAATCCTGTGGCACCTCTCTTGTTTTCCATGCTCTTTCAAATACCACTGATAAGTGTCTCACTAATTACATTTGCTAGTTCTTTCACTATCTTATGATACAGTTCATTTAGGCCAGGTGACCTGAGTTCACCAGGAAAGCTAGGTGCTTTCTTAGCACCTTCTTATTTACCATGGATATCTATTCCCCATTGGTCATATTTTGTTCAATCATCTCTGGTATGCTAAGTTATTCTCCATGACTATGGGCTTTCCTTTTAGACAAAATGTATTCAAGACTTTGTCTGAGAAGGTTATTTAAAAAAATAATCAGGGACATAAGTTCTGGATCCTTCAAATGTTGTAAATTCAGCATAAGAAAGATATTGAGTGATGTAGGGTATAGTAAGAACTGAAGGGTAGTAAAAGAATAAGAGTCGGCGAATGTTTCTGTAGCCTGCAGCTACTCTCTGTCAAACATACGATCCAGTCAATAATGCTATAACTCTCAGAGATGGAGAAGTAAGCCAAGGATGTGAGAGCATAGATAAAACTTTAAGGAATCATCACATAGAAGCTGTCAACTCTCCCATTCTTAACAGTAGCATTCTTCTGGTTTGATGCCTGTGAGATGATCAAGATCTATGCTTTTACAATATAAAGGTTATTCAATGCCAAATAATAAGAACTACCCAAATTACTATCTTGTCTTAAGGTTTACAAATTGCTTTCCTCACAACTGTCAAGTAAGCAGTACAAATATTATCTTCATCATACAGATGAGGAAATTGAGGCTTAGAAAGATGAAAGGATTTGCCCATGGTCACACAGTTCTAGACATCTGAGCTAAGATAACTATGAAGACTCTTACAATGCTCATGTGACTAAAAGACCACTGAGATGCTGTCTGTCACACATGAGGTAAAGCGGAACTTGGTAAAGGGGGAATGCATGAACCCAAAGTGAGACAAAATATATACAGCACTTTTTAATCTTTAAAGCACTATAGACATGACAGTTGTTATTATAAATGTCTTTATAAAAGACCAAAGAGAAGGAAAGCATGACTAAAAGAATTCTTGAATTAATTTTGCTTAGCTTAAAGTAGGAAACTATGGTGGTACCAGATCAACCTAAATATTATGTCTTGCTTTACAAAAGGAAACATTTGAAAGATTATTTTTATTTTGCAGGAGAAAAGCAGTCAGAGCTTTTAAAAAATGCACTGGGGAATTATAAGTCTTTTCTTTTCTCAAGAAAAATTAATTGCTTTATGGACATTGAAATGGATGAAAGCTATGATTAAAATAATGGCAGTCTGGGTAAAATCTTCATGTGATTAATTCTCTTCTACCTGGAGGATGTCTTTCAAGGTCACTTTTCTATCCTTGTGCATGGAAAACAATATAGCTAATATTTCATTACTATCTGTAGTAAAGGAAATAAAATGGATGTTATGACTTCAGAATATTTTCATTCTCCCCTCCTTCTTCTCCTCCCTCCCTTCTTTCCTTCCTTCCTCTCTCCCTTCCTCCCTTGGTATAGGAAATTCCAAGATGAGAAAAGTTCTTCTACCAATGAAGGTCAGCACCTTCTCTGCAACTTGAAAGCCTTAAAGAGCTGCAAAGCCTTAAAGAGTTGCCTAGAGTACTGAGGTCAAGTAACTTAGCCAGAGTCATATATAGTCAGCATGTTAAAAGTGGAACTTGAACTCAAGTCTTCCTGGCACTAAGGCCTGTTCTCCATCCACTATGCCACATTGCCACTCCCAACATTTATTATTAATAAAATAACTCATATTTATGTAATACTTTAAGGTTTTCAAAATACTTCCTCCCAACAACCATATGGCACAGATGGTATAAGTATTATTGTTCCCATTTTCCAGATAGGATAACTGAGGATTTTTGAAAGATTATGTGGCCTGCCAAAATAACATTTAATTCTCCATTGTCTTGTCTTGTTCTCTAATTGTTTCGCATGTCTTCCTCTTCTCCCTAATTGGACTCAAAGTT